AATCGATTGTCGTTAAGTAGAACTGAATCAATATGACAGCAATTGAGTGTATAATTTCATGTAACATTAATTCACTGATAGTCCTATTGGTAATAAAAGACATTTGGTAAAGATAGAAAATTCACCTACATTGTATCATTCGGTTGCAACTTTGTCATGAACATTATGTATTCAAAGATTCACAAAGATGTATACAAATGACAGATTTGTTGTTATCGTCAATATTATTGCTGGTGTTAGTGTTTATACTGATCTTATTGTATATATTAATTTTCTCAATATTCATCTTTTGGTTAACAAATTCATAAATGCCGGTTGTTATTATTTTTGGATTCAGATTTAAAGCAGGAAATCCAGCTGACATCTTCCATGGAATAGATTTAGGCTTTTTTTTACCATTTCCAAAACGCATTAACAATTATGTAAAGAAGGGGTTTTGTGGAGATTTCTAGAAATTTCAACTATTGAAATTATGTAAAGATTTAATCATTGAATACACAATATTATTTATTAACTATTTTTGAATGATTTACGTGTTGATCATCGTTAGTTCATTAAATCATATTATCTGATGATAATTTATGTATAGACGGATATGTACATATAAATTCATCGGGAATTCTTTTTATCCTGATTATATTTTCCTTTGTATATATGTTTTATGATTAGCAAGTGACAATCCTATTGTAGTTAAAAAGTTAAACTGTTTCATTACCCAACAAATCTTTTTTTAAATTATTCTTAAAGATTTGCATTCTTCCATATTGTTAATATTTAGAACTGGAATTTTATTGATCTAAGTTGACATAAAGTATTTATCAACATAAAGCTACAAGTTAAGATATATTTTAAGCATTTCTCAGCGGTAACATATTCAGATGATGAGTCCTGAACAGGACAGAACGCGCGTTCTGGATTCTGTTAACACCCATTACCTAAAAACAATGGGTTGATTTTATGTTTTACGGTTTATCCAGTTAATATTTTTTTAATATTCGGATTCCTATATGGTCTGGATGACCGTATTGAACAGTTACTTTTTCCGTAGTTTGTATCATAAACTGACTTTGACTGAATAACTACTGAAAACTAGAAAGTACCGGACACCTCCTTCGTCCTAGTGTGTGACTCTTCATTAATGGCCATCCACGGTCCTCTCCCCAATGACTTCAGTCTCTTAACCTTCAAAAGACTGAGTTATATCCAACGGCGTTGATGTTGTACAGAACGACAACAAAAATTTCGACATTTAAATCATTCGGTCAACCTTAAATCAAATAAAATCCCTACAGTCTCCGATTCTATAAATAATCATATAATCAATAGTCATTGAATTTAAGAGAAAATTCCTGAAGTTCTAGTAAGAATCTGTTACAGATAAAGTTTAACCATCCAAGGACTGATGCACTTGATGACAGTAGCGTAATAACATGAACTAACTTGAGCTAAAAATGTGCACCTCTGGATTTCAACTCAGTAAATTAGTGGGAACGTTAACACCACGAAGTTTAAAGATTCCAACTTCGATCCCTAACATGGTGGTGAATGCATGCTATAGAAGAGTTCAAAACAAGGATGAAAAATTAATCCATCACTCACGAATTTCCAATTTCTCTCTAGTTGTGTTCCAACACATTTGTGAATTCTATGACAACGATATCTTTTTTTCAAATTATATTCCCAATAGATGATCACTTTAGAGTATTTTATTGAAATACTTTTTAAATCCTCTGAAAATAGCTAGTACAAACACACAAACATAATTGCATACATACATGGCATAGTATACATAGAAACACGATGTGAGACGAATTTCTGATTACTATTCAGTAAAATATTCATAAATCTAAATTTGTCGTGTAATGTTAATTATTGTAGAAGGAGAAGAAGGGGAGAAATATGAGGGAGAAGAAGGAGAAAGAGAAGGAAACAATATTGCCACTATAAATATAACACGCCCATTATCTTCTTCATAATTCCTTACAATAATTCTTAATCACCATTATTTTAATGATTAGTAGCATTATTAACATTTTCAATAATCTTTTCTTTTTTCTATCTATTAACCTATCTCACCCAATTTTAAAGAACGGGAAAGCGACTTGACTCGGAATATGTTCATTCATTTCCACATACGCATGCAGAGTAGGTAAAGGTATATGAACAAACAGCAAACTTGCGACTGAAGAAACTTGTGAAAAAAAATCCAAAAACTTCACCAAAATAAATAGGAGAAAGAAAATTCGAACATAGAAACAATTTATGCAATCAATGGCGACGGTGACAACAAACATGATAGTAACAGTAGTGGTTGTTGTTGTTTTTGTTGTTCGTGTATCTTGCCCTGAACGACTCTTGACTCAGCTCCTAGCTATTGAAAAGACAACAGAAACTGAAAGTTTTATTCTGGTTTAAATCAATAATGATACACAGAGAAAAAATAAGGGTATCTGCAGGATTTCTTCTGTATCCCAGACTGCAAGCCATTCAAGATACGAGTTTCATGAAGCTTTGTTTAATTACAAGTGAAGGCTTCAAAAAATTCGTTTTTTGGGTGGTTCAGTTTAAATTTTTGAAAAATGATGCATTTTCCAGAAAAGACCAAAACAGAAACTTGTTAGGAATGTATTACTTTTTGATAAGATTAAAACTTCCCACTGACATACAGATGTATCACATCAAACAAACAAACCCAAGTGAACAGTGCAAAGGACTATAGGATAATGTTTAATTATATTGTAGAAAATTAGAAATCCCGACTAAGAGTTATGATTACTGTACTTAAGTAGAACTGTTCAATTAATATATCAATTCAGTACTATCTGTATCCTAGGGTTTTTATAGTACGATAGCCTATATAAATTAAATGAGTTTAGTCAAAATCATCATCAATGTAGATTTTGACTATTAGAAACGACATTTAAGACAAGCGAAATAGTCTACTATACAGTCGATAGCCTATGAAGTTTGAATTTTGATTAGTTGGCAAGTACGTACCAAAACTTTAAACAGATTATCCCAATAACTGCTAATCAACTTAAATCGTCTGTTTAGTTTCAAATATTAATTGCCTTATTTAAAAATCATTTGTTATTATTTTGCAATCAGTACCAATCTAAAAGAATGAAACATTTCACTCCAGAATTTCACATCATAAGCTACTCATAAGTAGTATAGATGAAATTAAGAACAAAACTTTGCGCCTAAACTAATCCATAAAATTTTTTGATTGAGATCATGAATCGATCGATGTTAAACTACCATTAGAAACCTGGAAGCACCAACGCACCATAAAGGTTATGTAGGTTTGACCAGTGAACCTCTTTTTCAAAGATGATAAAACAGTCTTTATCCACAGAAATATTAAATCATCTTTTAGCATTTCATAACTTTTATTCTTTCTTATTTCTACATATTTTTGAAAAAATTCAGTGCAACAAACATTTTTTGTTTAACTAGGTAAGAAACTGTCAGCAAAGAATTTACTCATTAGCAATTTCCTGTCACCAATGACGCGCCAAAGTAAAATGGGTTTTAAGAGATGAACTTGACACTTTTTCACTTGTTCTCATAGAATAATATACGTTGCGTTAGTGACCATATTTCCTGCTTTCATTACTAACTATGAAATAATAATAATTTTTAAAAAGCACCTACAATTTCTTTTAGCTCTTTACATTTATATTTCTTGGCATAAAACTTAATGCATAATTTTGGATTGTGTTTTCTTTTATTTGAAAAGAAAAAACAAATTGCCGTATCACTTAGAATGACTCTGTCCGTTAATTAGTAAATAAAAATCTATCGGTTAAATTCTAAAATTGGGTGACCTTGGGGTGCAATGTCCCGAATACCATTGTACTGGATTTTAACGAGACTGTTTTACTTTGTTTTAGTCTGCATTTCTTTTTAATGGAATATTCATAGATTGATTATCTTATGAATCAATAAGTTGTACAATATTGCTAAATATTCAACTGAATGTATTTATTGAGTATATTAAATTTGTCATTATTTCTACTCTCCTAATTAACGGAATTATACATAACTTCTAGGATTTTATTCCTTACTGATAACAAGAGACACCCCTGATGAATTAGGACATGGTTTGCATGGTGAGTTCGGTGCTTAGTCGAGATAATTTTACGGTCCCCCTCCAGTTAAATGTATAATCCACAAATCAATAGACTAATGTTAACTGACTCAACTCCAAGATATCCTCTAATTAGAGATATTTCTTATGTTATTTATTGATATAGAATTTTTTAGCCCATGTTCACCACTGCTTATTGCAACTCTTCTTGAATGACCTTTCTTATCCTCTTCATCTGTCGAGGACAGTATACTTCCTTTCATAGTTTTATAGCCATGAAAAAACCCTTATTGCGTGAAGGTAGTGATTAGAACTTCTGTAAAACAAATTTTCGACTCATGACCACATAACAATAGTTCGTAAAAGAGAGTATATTCAAATTAACCTCTAGGCACCCGAAGTTAAATCAAATTCTGCGTCTTGATAGTTGACTATCCAATTTTTGGTTTACTAATCGTTGAATAATCTGAAAAATATTTTTTTCTTTTTGAAGTATATTCTAGAACTATTAGAATTAAGCATAAAGCACATGATACAGCTCCGAAAAATGAGGTTAAATGGGTAGAAAACTTAATTCAAAACTAAAATCAAAACGACATTGTTGTCCATTGCCGACTAAAGTATGACAGAAAATTATTCAGTAACCAGAAATAACGTACAATATTAAGAGGTTTCGTCATCATAGTAGATGCACTAATGAAAATATCCTCATTTGCCAATATTTTGAAATTGCTTATGTTGTAACGTGGTGTGTGACTGCAGGGTTTGAATACGCAGAGTTATTATCGATCGCTTCTGTGACAGTGATCTGTGACACGTAAACCTGTAAGGATGACCTAGTGCCCTGATTGGCCCTGCCTCGCTATCTGTCCCCAGTCAGTTGAGTCAAGAACAAAAGTCACAGCCTCGGAGTTATGAATCATTATATTTCAAACATACACTATTTATATACCAAGCAAACAAACCACATCGTACCACAAAGTAGAAAATAACATTGTACAATATTGGCCAACAGGAAAATAACACGTTAAATAAACATCGACCAATGGGAAATGTACATTTAAGGTCCAAGGACACCATTGGACTTAACATGATAATTATTGGTCTATTTTTCCCGACTATCCTAACACCTCCCCTTTTTCGGAAAATCCGGAGTTCATATCTGCATTTTAAAATTTTCTGGGTTCATCCTCCCCCACGAAATAATGTTGGGTCCTCATCTCTCCAAGTTAAAATTAATTTGACTTTATTTAACACATGATGGTCACATGGAACAGAGAAGTCACTAAAAGTGATTAAGTAGTGTGGACCAACGTCGCTTGATATGAAGTCACTAACCTTTGATTCTTCTGGAACATTACCATAGAATTCCTTGAAAAACTCATTTGTGGATAGTCGATCACTGGGATAATTAACATCTATCAAAATTGTATTCAACTTCTGATCATCATTTGTGGCATCTAACACATTTTCTGGTACAAGAGGATCCAGATAATAAGATTCATCAGAGTCACCTGTTGTTGACTGATGAGGACCGTTCGGAGCAGCTAGACTCAGTATAGTGCACGATTTGTTTCCTGTTTCCTTGTGAGAGGGCACTATAATTAATTTATGAGCATTTAATGAGAGATCTTCCTGTGAGCTGGGTACATCACTGTCTGTACACGTTTCAGGAATAGTGGGATTTGAACCCACAACAGGGCATGATTCTGAACTGGACATTCCCGGATCGCTAGACGGGTTATGAGCGACTGCCTCATTTGCATTACTGATCATAAGGGATTCATAGAGGCTTTTGTTTTCATCTTCATATGTCCTGCAGTCATTCTCGAGTTCAGTATGCAGGTGAGAAATTAATTCGTCAACCTCTTTCACATCTCCGAAACACGGGAGATTTAGCAGTCGCGTGCGCATGTAGTCCAAAACTTTCAACTGGCTCTCTCTGTAACGATCTAGTAGTATCTGCAATTGACCTGAGGGGATAGTCATTTTCTGAATCAGCAGAGTAATGAGAAATACTGTAATCAATTAACAACCAATGACTCCCAAGGACGCTGACGATCAATCTGAATGCTGATTGGCCAAAATAAATAGGATGAATCTCGTCCAATTACAGGGTTCAAAATTTTCTCTACCCCGTCGCCAATTGTTGTAACGTGGTGTGTGACTGCAGGGTTTGAATACGCAGAGTTATTATCGATCGCTTCTGTGACAGTGATCTGTGACACGTAAACCTGTAAGGATGACCTAGTGCCCTGATTGGCCCTGCCTCGCTATCTGTCCCCAGTCAGTTGAGTCAAGAACAAAAGTCACAGCCTCGGAGTTATGAATCATTATATTTCAAACATACACTATTTATATACCAAGCAAACAAACCACATCGTACCACAAAGTAGAAAATAACATTGTACAATATTGGCCAACAGGAAAATAACACGTTAAATAAACATCGACCAATGGGAAATGTACATTTAAGGTCCAAGGACACCATTGGACTTAACATGATAATTATTGGTCTATTTTTCCCGACTATCCTAACAGCTTAATTATCTTCAAATCCTTAAATATTTATAGTTAATTCTTTCTTTAGAAAAAATGATCACAGATGATTTGTATCCTTTAAGATTTACTCTTAGATATGGAATTTGTTAATGAAATCATTCGTTCCCATATGGTTTTCGTTACAGTATAAGATCAGTTAAGGTACGATTGAAAGTCAAGATACAATGAATCTCTATTTCATTCTAGTATAGCATTCTTAAACAGTGTCACTCATTACGAGGAAACGGACTGAGTAGAGGAATCCAGTGGTTTATAATTTCAACTTCAGTCATGGAATGAAATGTGTTTCATACTAGGACGAAATAGATCCCGAGTACTCTATGACTTTGATTGATAGTCTAGCTGATATCCATCGATGACGACAATTATCTGCAAATTAGGTAGTTCTCTGTAAAACAAAAACCTGTCAAAATTTGATATTTTTCGGACTAAACTACAGTATATCTGGTGAGACGTGATTTATTTCACTTAAGTCTAAAATTTCCTATTTCATCAATTTAGGAAAACGAAATACACCGGAAAATCAGAAAGATTTGAGTAGTTATTTCATTCTTGTCTTGACCTTTACTTATTATGTTTGATTCTTCTAAATGAAAGGCAGTTATTTGTTTATGACTCCCTAAGAAAAGGGAATCGTTAAAACAAGAAGAGAATCTTTTTGACCTATATATTTAAATCAACCATAAGTGCAGTTTAATAGAGAAATAACTTTTCTGCTGATTATAATTATATCAAAGAATATTAATTATCCATATGAGCATGATAACATCCTGACATATTTTATTGATCGTAAAATTAACGAAGTATTTCATGGTATTAAAGCTAAACATATTGTATTCTCTATGTTGTTTGATTTCATTGGCATGTTTTCGTATCCGATTTTGATGGAATCGGAGTCGATTTCAGAAACAAGCGAAAACAAAATGAGAATTTATTGTTTTAGGTATTAAACTACCTTATACACAGAAATAATGGTGGCTAGCAGTGAAATTCAGGGCGCGCGTGTGGATGCACCTGCACTTCAGTTGATGTTCACCTCGGGACTACGAACCTCTTAAAACTCGCTTCAAACGCCATCATGTTAACCACTTAGTGAACACTAACTCTGGGCTGCAGGTTCATCCATCTGATGAGTCCCAAATGGGACGAAACGCGCGTCCTGGATTCTACTGCTAGCCACCATCATCTCTGCTTATAGTGTTTGTGAAGTAAGGTAATATCGAGGTAAACCTCACAGGTTGTACACATGCCATCAAGAGACTGATCAATTGCAGTCCTAAAGATTCAAACAACCAATACAAAAATGGATTAACCTACTTTATTTTAAATAAGTAGCGTATATTGACGCGAAGAAAACAAATATGTAATCTCGTGATTGGTTACATTTCTCAGTTATACTAATTAGGTTATTGTTCTTATCAGTTATATACTTAAATTACTGAATAGTTAATATCAACTATTACCATTTCGGTACATTCAGATTAAACTATTAAGGGGATATTTGAAAATGAGTTGTATCTCATTGTAAATATTAGTGTTTTGAATAGTCATGGACTATTGGTTAGTGCATAAATAAACCTTTCATCTACAGCTTTACTTTTCGTCCTTGCATCGTGAAATATCAGTCTTGGTCCACGTTATACAGTGGCAGGTAAAGCCTTTTTCGAAAGTATAACAAGTACCAGTATCAGCTTTTTGTCAAGTTATTACAATTATCCTGTCGCAAAATCCCATTAATAATAGCCTTAATCAGTAACCTACAGCATTATAGTTCGGTTAGGCGTTATTCCAAGATAATTTTTCTCAAACGCTTTGAAGTTCCATATTATAAACTGATTTTGGTTAGGTGACCATGTAAAACCAAGAAGCACTTGACATCTACTTCGTCCTAGAATGGGACCCCTCAAGAGTTCTCATTTACTACCACACAGGCGGCCAAGCCCAGGATCACTAGACTTCGAAGCGAGCCCTTAACCTTCAGACCTCTGGAGGCTTAAATGTTCAACCTCTACCAGTTTGCTATACTATGTGATCATCATCAATTATCACTAGTAATACCTGTTTCATGTTTAGCACATATGAACTATACTAGTCATGGCCTCGCAATAGGACTCCTAGAAACGCCTCTCATAGTTGGTCACCAGTACAAATATGATGATTTTTACTCTAGATTATTGCAGATATTGTTGATTTTGAAGTGTTATATTACGGATTTAACGTAGTGTTCAGTGTCTGTTTCATCAAACTTAGTTCGTAATGTAAAACCTCGGTTCCAACAAACTCCACAACACCCAACAATAACTTTTTTATCCCAAAGTCTTACAATCAATAGTCAGTATACTTTCTTCTGTTTGGATTGAAGTTCATATAAGGTTCATTTATTTCATAGTGCTGAAATTAAAATGTTAACTGTGGTTTATTTATCTAATTATACTAAAAAAAATATCTGATTATAACTCTGATTATCAACTATCAGTGTGAGCAAACCAAGATTTTAGAATAAAGTCAATCCCTTTCGAAAACATTGGTAACCTACACAGATAAGATCAATTAACTTTACATATAAGAACAACTCCTCATCATTCCGTGTTCTAAATAAATAAACAAGTGGTTTGCGAGTAGAAAATATTTTATGATGACCCTATCAAATCGTGCAAATAATCGTCTCTTAAATCTCTACCAAAACAAACATTTGCTAGTTAGTTAGTAACTATGGTAGCTCACATGGAAATTATCAACTCAGAAAACTTGTAATCTACTCCCATTTTAGTATCTGATATTAAACCTACCAATATCCTAGGGATACCGGTAACCACATGAATAGATATTAGTTTGTGTACAAATTAAAAAAGCCAGAATTTCTGAGAGTTTATGAATTAGTTTCTTAACAAAATCTTCGCTCACAACATTCCTGTTTGTTTAGTCGTTTATTTAAATTTTTTAATCACAGATGTTCCTAACATTAAGATGACAGACTTAGACCGACCAGTCAGTGTAACTATCTCAGACCTACAAGAGATCAGAAGCCAGTTCAGTTCATTCTTTTGGTAACGACAAGAAAACTTGGTTTAGTTGTTGAAACCAAGTTCCTCTCATTGAAATCACAAACCAGTTTAAGTTAAACAACCACAACCTTATACTGACAATTATCATGTACTCACTAGTGATAAGCTTCGAGAGGAAATTTCCAAAGTTCGAGTGAGAATTCATTAGCCGTGTTGGGTGTGGAGAAGTTACCTACGGAATAAAATGCAAGATGGTCGCACGACATCGTGGATTTATTAGTCAAACTTGTGCACCATTAGATCCCGGTTCAGTAGTTTGGAGGTTAAACGTTCATGAGAGAGACCTATCTTTAATTCCTACTAGGTCAAAATATATATCGTAATTGTGGTGTCATCACAATCCAAGAATTTTGGTTAAATGATATACAGGACGATTGCTTAGTATTACTACGTGATTTCAAAATTTATCGTCAGGATCGATCAAACAATAAAAAGAGGTGTTGCGGTGGTCTAGCTACGTTTGTAAACGTGAACTGGTGTCGATATTCCTATGTGTGTTTCAAGTTTTCAAATGACTTTGTCGACTGTCTAACTCATCCGTCCAAAACATCCGAATAAATACAAATATGTTTGTGTTACCAATATCTACGTGACTCCAGACTGCACATCATCTGCGCTATCTGTTTTCGCTGATGAATTCACTGAGTTCGCTTTTACTGCCTTCAGTGGTTCACTTTCAGTTGTATGTGGTGATTTCAGTTCATGTGACTGTAGGTTTCTTTCGTTACTAGATAACTAAAATGTAGTAGATTTTCCTACTCCTTTGAATGCTCATTTAGACTTCGTTTTCATTAATGATGTGGGTATATATGTGACTCGTAAGTGTGCTCAATTGTCTAGCTTGGATCACTGTATAATTCGTGTTCTACTTAAAGTATATGGAAAGCATGGAAAGAGTACACTCTTACATCAAACCGACTCAAATATAGGAATTGCTCAGGAAATTTGAAAAACATGTTTCATACGACTAACTGGTAATGATTTACAGATGACTCACTGGAAAACACTACTGATGTTATCACTTGTTACCTTAAATTCTGTTTTGATATGTGTTGTCCCACTGAAACCATTTTTGTAAGTTTTGATTGATTTACATCTTCACAACTAAAACAATTACGGAGGGTGAGAGAAAGAATGTACAAGAAGAAAAACTCTAATGAAGTTCGTAAGCTAAATGGTCTAATAAACCTACAGTTTAGACGTCTCAACTCTATTTTTACCAAAAAGCTCCTGTCTTGTAAAAACTCTCCAAGTATGTGGAAACTCTTTAAAGAACTTACAGGTGACAGGCACATCAAAAGCGATAACCATCTGAATGTTTGTGACTTAAGTCTTTTGTACGTCAGTCATCTGATGCACCCTGTATCCACAGGTCTGAAGAATAGTTGTGTACCTATTTTCACTGGAACTGATGTCTGAAAATGTCTCCAGCCACTTGATTCGTCTCAATGTTTAGGGCCTAATGGAATCCCACCAACAGAGACCCACGCTTCCTTCCCCGAAACACCAGAAAAAGTTGTGTTCAGTTTCTCTTGTGTAACATTATCGACCATTCAACTACAAGCATTATCACTTAATCCTAAATTTTGTAATACTTTAACTAGCATTAAATAACTCAACGCTAAAATCTAGTTTGGTTCTGCTACACAGAAGCTGACTTCCACGAGCACGGCATGACAGATACACGTGTGCGATTCCTCTCAGT